ATAGCCAACCTGTGAGATCAAATTATCCAGAATTATTTGTTATTACAATATTGTTACGACCTGTCGTTTGCAAAGCACGTATTTGACTTAATTTTTGCATAAAACTCATTTTTGCGCAAGGACGCGCATGTTTCTCAGTGTTTTTCGTGTTGGGAAGTTGGCTGCCCTTTTGGGCCTTATGAGCTCCGTATTTCGAGTTGTCCGTACTCTCCCCAACATAAGCACTTTACTTATGACGCTTGGTTTTTAACCCCGTTTAATGGACCATACTTTTGGAGGGAAATTTTGGTGAATTTTAAGAAATGAATGGGGTGAAAGTTATGAGGTATGAAAAAAGTTCGACCGACATTTTTGGGGGGGGGGGGACGGCGGAGAGGCAATTCCATAAAAATTAAAATATTCCAAGAAATTCTGGAACGCACAATCATCTCTCTGACTCCATGTCTTCAGCACTGACATTCTTCTCTTGGCTTAGTTTTATAACTTCTAGTAAATTGACCAATCACTTTCAATCTCAGGCAGACTTGAATAAACTTGTCAGTTAGCCTCTCGGATCGCAGTGGGATTGTTGGCTCTTGTAGGCTAGGAGACTATACCAAGACTTGAACTGATTGATACTGATTCCTCTCTGTGCCAGAGGGACGTGGTGGCGGGGAGGGGGGTGACCGAGATTAATCTCCAAGGACGCTACAACACCGCAAATCTAGGTCTCGCGGCTGAGAAGAACGCTTTCTGAAGAACCTTCATCTCGCTCCCCCCAAAGTGCTTTGTCAACTTGATTCCGGCAGCTAATTTAATCGGGGGAGGGGAGGTGAGCAAGGGCCACCTTTCCAAGTGTCGCAGCCTTAACTTTTTCATGGAGGATTTAAGCATTCCTGAAAATTACGAAAAGTGACGTTTTTTGGGAAATTTTTCCGTCAAGGAAGGTGCGGGGAGAGGTCCAGACCCCTGCTCCTTTCCTGGCTACGCGCCTTCAAAATTTTCGTCTCAAATGGAGCAATATTATTTTCTGTAACGGGCCTGCGTTGAAAATAGTTGAAATCATAGCTGAAAGAGTGTAATAATATGTGAAACTGAACGATTTCATAACTTCTTTCGAAATCATTACTAAATACTCCTGCCAAAATACCTTAGCGTCAGCCAAATACTCCTCCTAAAAAAAATTTAGCCCCCGTTCCTATGTTCTAAATCCAGAAAGATGATAGAGCATTAAATATTTCTGACGTCTCCGAAACATAGGAATCAATTCTTACATATTATCTGCATTATACTCGTTTAATGCAGGGATAAATTTCACCAAATGATGCCAAGTGGACGTGGAAAAAAATGATAAAGAGTAAGAAAACTCCCCCCCTCTCTCCCTCCCCCTATCTCCCCCCTCTCTTCCCCTCCTCCTCTCTCCACCCTCCCTCCCCCTCTCTCTGTTAACCCAATACTTTTTATTAAAATCATCTCGAGACAATTTTCAGGGATTCTGCGAGGTTTCGATTTCCTTCCCCTCACCATGAAGAATTTCATTCCCCTGAAATGGAGCAAACGAGAAGCCTGCCAAAATTATTTGTAAGGCCTTGTCTCCACCAGCCGTTTCACGAGATTTGTCCCAGGGAAAAATCCCACTTACGAAGTTGGGAAAAATATTGAGTTAATCAATATTTTTCCCAGTACCAAGTATGGTACTTGTACCCCTAGGATCCACTGGGAGAAGAAGAAGAAGTGAAAACGAATCGTGCGATATTTTATTCATTACTACATTGTTAATGTTTGTTTAGTTAAAAAATGTGTCTTAATTGTCAATTGAGTGCAATTATTATTTTAATCCCGGTTAAATACTCGACTTTGACTAATTTATCTTCCCGCGCAAACTAGTCGCAGGACTGTATGAGCCCCGTCTCGTGGAGACGGTAACTGGGAAAAATCCCAGAAGTTCCATTCCTGCGATTCGAACTTGGGACAAATCCCATGAAAACGTCCCGTGGAGACAAGGCTTACAAAGGCTCGAGCTTCCGTTTTTCTCTCACGGTAGCCTCAGTCGAAAAAGTCCAAGGAGTAAACGGACGGGCATCGTCACGTGTTGGAGTTGGTGTCAAAATAAATTGATTAATCCTCTTCTGGAGCTCAAGTCGAGCGCCTTTTAGTCCGCCCGAGACCTTGCTCCCGGCCTCCTGATCTCTCGACCGCGATCCGATCTCCCAGCGGAAACTACATGGATGTCGCATCTCCGAAACATGGGTCCCCATACCGGGTTGCCTTAGATGGACTGAGTCCGGTAATCCACTCAATGACGGCCTGCTACTTCCATGTCATCACTGATTTTAGAATTATCAATTCGGGGATTTTAATAATTTTGAATTCGATTCTTTGATCATTTTTAATTTTATACAATCGCTGGAGACAGATTCTACTATAATCGGTCTGACTACTTCAAACGTAGCCTAATTTTCTCTCGTGGTCTTTTTTAAAGTCGAAAAGTAAGCTATATACTGAAATTTAAAATCTTGTGGTTATATTTCTCATAATATGGGGTAAATCTACTAAGATGTGAAAGGCGCGAAGTAGGATATTTTGACAGCCAGAGCCAATAAAGTCAACTGAGTGACTGGCAGCACCTTTAATCCCGCCCGGCAAAGTTACGTTGTGGCAATGTTGCCAAAACGTTGCAATTTCGCCATTTACGTATTCGGGCAACGTTGTGGTAACGTTGCCACAACGTGTAATTTTGTCAGCTTGCATGAACGTAATTGGCAATGTGTCTGCAATGTGTTTTAGCAACATAATGGGAATGTTGCAAAAATACGTTTTAGCAACATATTGGGAATGTTGCAAAAATACGGTGAAAAAANGGGATTAGTCGAGTTAAGAGAGAAACCAAACACCCAATTTAGCCTGGAACGGCGCGGCGTAGAGAGCAATGATGACGAGGACTTGAGATGGAAAGGAGAGGCCCTCGGCGCGCTGGTCTGCATGGAGCACATATTAGCGCCTACAAGACTCCATGAATACTTCTTGCATTGCGTCAAACGTTGTGCGGTCAGCAGCGGTTGGCGTAAAACGCATAGCGCCTACAAGACTGTAGGGATACTTCACACATAGCGCCAAACAGTGCGGTTGGCGCGATGGCGGAAATTAAACCACATTCATGTTTATTCTTTCATAATTTGTTCGTTCTTTTCTTACAAATGAAAGGCCTCGTCCACACAGAGATAGGTTTACGGAACTTCATTTTTGTGCTAAGTTCTATGAACTTTTCCTAGTGTTGACAGGGTTTCCCAAAAAAATGTGCCGACTCGAGCAAACGCGTCTTATGCACCCCTCTTCTTCCGGCACATTCACTCTATGGTTTGTATCGATGTTTCAAAACGAATGAGAAGGGGCGGCAAAATACAGGCGGCCCATGGGCGGCAAGTAGGTAAATCCGGCCCTGGTTTCTCGTGGGTCCATTACCTACGTCATTCGTCCATTGCAACCACCCGCTTCCACCAATTAATAGGATCCCTTCATATACCGTTTGCCTTCCATGTTTATCGATTTGTCTACCAATTTCGTCCATCAGCTCGCTGAGCACCAATCCGGCTCTGATGTCTATGCTCCACTTGAAAGTGCACAATGGCTTATTGCCCAACTCGTGTTCACGTTGTCGTTAAATCATGAAGAAGTGGAGACAGAAAACGGCTCACGTGCTCCAGTTGAGCTCTGAGTTGACCGAATGGTCTGTAGTTCTGTTGGTCTATTTGTTGTCTGTTTAGCATGAGACCTGCGACCTGTGGCTGTGTCGACTCGTTGCGTTGCGTCGCGTCGCGTCGGTCGTCGTGTTCAGGGTCACCATGGTCGGGGTCCTCGTTTTCCCCGCTTCGTCCTCTCCTCGAGCGTAAAAATAGACCGTGCTCAATGACCCGAGCATTCAACTCCACTTTCCTTTCTCTGATTATCTCCGATCCCCAATTCCTGCATCGTCGTCCAGTGCACCATCCCTATCAGATCAGGGCCCGAATCAGTGATCCCATTTCAAGTCCGTCATAAGTCCCGGGGTTCGGAACTTTTTTCTTCCAATTTCTTCATTTTCATGACTGTCAATAGTTCCGGGATTTTTTTATATTCTCAAAAGTTCCGGAAGAAGCTAAAGATCCGGAACATTTCGGGAATTTCCAAAATTTCAGGAAAATCTCAAAAGTTCCGCAATTCGGAACTAATTCCGGGAAATGGGAGTACTGGCCCGAATCTTGTTGCCCAGTTTACGCACGGCTCAAAGTTGCGGCAAGAAAGTCGACTTCGTCATTCGATCCCTGATTAATGGTTTCCACCATTAAGGAGCCAGGGATGGCACGAGCCTGCCGAGAAAAAAGGTCAACCTTGCGTCCAGCTTATAAAGTCGAATATAGAGGTTAGGTTTCACGACGTGCGGATGACGGTAGACCGACAAGATTCGAACCGGGAGCGAAGCGTAGGGGAAGAAAGATCTGGCCCCTAGATTTCTAAGAGGTCGGTGGTGCCCCCTTTCGAAAATTCAGCGAATTTTGTGAAATAAATTCGTGATATTTCCATATTAGGAACTAGGGAATTGTATTTTTTGGGGGGTGGGGGCGCAGAATGGCACCCCATGAAGGGAGGAGGGTGCAGCGAACTTTCTCCCCTCATGGAATAATTTTGAAAAATTGAGTCGTCTCAGGAACAATTCTGAGCTATAATTTTTTAAAAATTGAAAAAAAAAGCAATTTTAAGGATGATTTATATGTTACGCTCTTGATTCGTCAATTCTTTACTTATGGAGGGGCCAAGTAAATTTTTAGGGCAAGCTTCTAGCTCGCCCTATTTTCGACCGTAGTTATTTCTCTAATCTTTGTTATTGTACTCCGATCAATTTCCCAACAAGAACATTTCTACATTGTTGCTGAGACGACTCAACTTTTCAAAATTTTTGCAAAGTAGGCGGAATTCAGACCAATTCAGACAGATAGCGTCGAAAAACGGTTTTAATGAACCTGTTGTCCCCTTCTCTGTTTCAGTGGCTTAAATAATGGCTCCGTCACTTAAATAAACGTGACCTCGTAGTGTGTCTTGCGCTGTTTTTGAACACTAAATTTCCATACCGATCAACCAAAGAACGCGCTAAAAGAAAATAACCTGTGTCTGTTAACATAGTGCGGTCCAGTGCAACTTATTCACATTGCATCGTTGCGATCATTGAAATGAAGACCTAACGCCTTCGAAAGTTCGGTTCGGCCAACAGTTGTACATTCACACGCAGCTCGTCATGTTATGCGCCCGAGAGAATCGTCAAGGAATAGGACTCATGAGTTATAATCCGAATAATTTTACTTGTATCACGTTCAGTAGCTTCGCGCACTACGTCTGAAACTTTGCTGGTGCGTTCAAGGCTGTGGTCTAGAGAAATGAGTATTTGCAGTACGTATTTTTTGGTGCGACGGTGAATTTTCGGCGGCTTTAATCTCTCTCTCACGGCTGTGAATTGTGCCGGTATGTGACAATGAGTGCGAACCAGAAGGAGAGTAACCATCTGCGGATTCCGACGCCGGAACCGAAAGGGGCTCAGACCCCCCCTCAAGCCGGATCTCCTTCCTCCAGTCATATTCTTACCGCTTTCCTCAAACCCATCAGGTAATACTCGACATTTTATTCATTTTTTTTTTTTTTAAATTTATTTTTTAATTACTAGAGGGGCGTTATGAAAAGCATGGACACCATGCATGGGATTGTTGCTGTGTCCAGAAGATACTTATTGTAGCCAACTTAGTAGACTTAAAATGATGAAATCGCGAAAATACGTTAGATGCATCAGGCATGTGGACGTATTTATGCGAAATGGAACTATGTGCAAGTGGAAAGATGGGGTGTGCTTGTTAGTGCTTGGGCCATAAGAATGAATGGGACTTTAAAAGCGCCAGTGACGTCAGCGGTGAGGACCGGGTACGAGGAGGCCCGACCCGAGCGACAACAACTAGGTCGTCAGTCTTTAACTCATGAGCCCTGTCCACAACGCTCTTGTCACATGCCCCTGGCTCACAAGTTAGCGCTCAGTCCCTTTTGATTTAATGTCAAATCCCGCTTTTCAGTTTTCTCAAAAGTAATTATATCTACTTTTACATTGTTTCTTATGCAGCTTCCACGAGCACACCCCATTTTCCCACTTCCACACAGTTCCTTTTAGCATAAGCACGTTCATGTATGGAATATTCACCGTCAGGCGCACTTTGTGCAGTCCGTATCCCTCTTACAGAATTGGAGTCACAATCTGTAGTATGGAACCAAAATTTCATTCATTCATAGAATCACTTAGTTTCGTAGGGAAACTAATAGCAAATGCGTCGTTATTTAAGCCAGAAATTTGGTTCCCAATCGCAAGATACAGCCCAATACGAAGTGACTTCATTATTTGAGCAAAATTTGTTCGACACCCCGGTTTTTGCTAAAAACCTTTATAAATTCCCTCGAATAAAGTGACATCCCAGTCATGACGTCATATTTTTGAAGCGGACCTGAACACAATGTGTTCAAGCTATATAGTAGTTTTATCCAATTTGAATTTAACGTAACCAAGTCGAAATCTACCTCTCATGATCTCATAAAAAAATAAGGAACATGAGTGTACAGCAAGTTGAAGTGGCTTGTATAGAAGCTTCGTTGATCCAGATTTAAGTGGAATCAGTAAAAATAAACATGATTCAATAGAATACGTAGACAAATGAATCATTATAAACATATAGATGATTTTTTCTCTCTTCATTTATTTGCATCATGGCAAACTTGCAGGCAACTTTGCATCATGTTGTGACAATTTATAGTGTGCCATGTAAGAGGAACCACATGACCGACCGAAGAGTACGAGAGAGCTTAGGGATTTTTTACTTTACCTTTTCAGTTCCTTTTTAGTACTCAAAGGGACGGAAAAAACTATATAGATATACTGGAAATGCCTCATGTTCAATGCGTGTCTTGAGACTCATGAATTGAGACTTCATGAGACTCGGCATTTTTCAATTTTTCAAAAAAATTTCGAGCGTCCTCCGTCAGAACTGTCTTTAACTTTGTCCGCCAGACCCTTTCTTATCTCATTAGGCATGTACATACATTAATCTCGCACGGGGCGGAAAAATTCTTAATGCTGGTCCTAGGGTTACCGGGAGGAATCCAAAATACCTTATCTCGCGTACCATCACCGCACTGGGGCCCGGGCATGAAAAGCACGGTGTATCTTACCTCTCTGAGCTTACTGTACTAGTTGTTGCGTTCATGAAGATCGAAGGCGTGACCGTTTCATTGGAATTCCGAAAGGAATGAAGAGCAACAGCTAATGCGAATTACACGTAAAGGGGTGTTTTATCGTCGTCGGTGAAAAATGAAGAATGGCAGTCTCGCGGTGTAAAGTATTTTTATCTTAAAAGAATTCAGTCGCAAATAGGTTTGAAATCAGAATCCTCCAATTTTTCGACCGGATCATTGTGGTAATTTTCCTGCTTTTTTGGGTTTTTCTACCCTCATACTTTTTTTACACTCACATTGAACACAACTAGAACTTCGAGAAACGCACAATGTTTACGAGAGGTTTACCCCGGCCTACGATTTCCGTGGAGCGTCACGACTCACGAGGAGGCAAAGGGGCTGGGACCTGGGTGGGGCCTCAACCCCTTGAAGTAAAATCAGCCTTACCACATTAGAAGTTGTCTAATTTTCTCCCGTGTTTCATTTCATCAATAGAAAACTAATCGATGACTTCAGACTCTAGGAGTATATTCTTTATAATCCAGCGGAAATTCATAGAAAGTTTCAAGGTGTTATGTAGTTTGGTTTCCTGCAGGGCCGGATTAGTGCGCAGGACCCCGGGGTGCTAGTTATTAGGGGCCCCAAATCCCAAACTTTCCGGGCCCCGTGACACCCAAAAGGGCCTCCTTAAATCTGTCTATTAGCCTCCAAGCACCCCTAGAGGATCTGGAATAAAAAGGAGTAGAAAACGCTCAGGGAGGCCCTATGGGTGATACAACACCCCGACTAATTCGACCCCGTTTCTCTGTTAAAAAACATAACTTAAGAGGAAAAACTTAAGAGGACTTAAGAGACTTAACTTCTACTTGGCCCTATGGGTGATACAACACCCCGACTAATTCGACCCCGTTTTCTCTGTTAAAAAACATAACTTAAGAGGAACAACTTAAGAGGACTTAAGAGACTTAACTTCTACTTAAGAGGACTTAAGAGACTTAACTTCTACTTAAGAGGGAATTAGGCACGTGAAATTCATTCTCGTTAAATTTGTGAAAATTGGCATTACGTAATAAGAATTATGAAAAATGGTATCCTACCTGGTGTTTGGTCCTGATGAATGTTGACGTCATGTCTATCGCGATCAAAGAGCACAACAAGAAGCGGCAACTGTCATCGAGGGGGTTTTATAAAGACGGGCGGCATTGCAGTTGCGGTCCCAGCCACTTTCTGCAGCTGCTGCCCCTGAAAAACCACGTTGTTCCATCTCATCCACAACTCTACAGTTTCTCCGACGAGTCTCCGAATTTTCGGCACCATCGCACAACAAAGCCGAGGATTCTGGCCAATTTCTTCGCGGCCTCCCTTGGGCCTCTGCCGATTTCCTCTCGAGCCGCGAGATCGCCGCTTTTCCGATTTAAATCGTTTCTGTCGCGTTCGTTCGCGTTGAGGGGAACGAGGGTTGCGCGCAGTTTGACAGGAAGGCTGCAATTATGAACGGGAGAATCGATCGCTCGTCCGACGAGTGACCTATCCGTCACGAGCGAAATATCGAAAATCGATTAATCGCAGTGATCGTTGCGATCTCGCTCAAGTGTAGCGTGGAGGTCGCGGGCAGTTTTCACTCGCGAAAATCGCCACTCTTTCGGGTGTAACGCCCCGTGCGGTAGGATCATCCTGCGGAAAAACGTTGCAAGGATGGAGTCACAGCGCCCACCGCCGCACGATGTAACGATTCCATGGGAGAAGTCGGACAAAATTTGGGATCTCTAAAAGTTTTTAGCTCCGTTAACACAGAACGTTCTAGTTTTATGAGTGATTTTATTGGTTCTCTTGCAAAATTTCCTTTAAAAATCAACCCTTATCAGGGCCGGATTTAGGGGGTGGCCACATGGGTTGCGGCCCATGGCGGCAAATTTAGGAGGCCGCAAATTTTGCAATTTTTTTAAATGTAGCTACAAAGCAAAATCGGATTCAGAAAAAGAAACTACAAACGAGAAAAGGTGACCAAATCTCTCATTTCCCGAGATTATATCTCTAATTTTACCGTCTTTCTGTGATACAGTAGACAGCACCTTTAATTAGTCGAGTTAAGACTAAGAGAGAAACCGAACACGGAATTTGGCCTGGAACGGCGCGGCGCAGAGAGCAATGATGACGAGAACTCGAGATGAAAAGGAGAAACCCTCGGCGCGGTGGTCGGCATGTAAGACGTATTAGCGCCTACAAGACTGCATGAATACTTCACGCATTGCGTCAAAGACAGCGCGGTCGCTGCGGTCAGCAGCGGGCGGCGTGAAACGCATTACAAGACTGCATGAATACTTCACGCATTGCGTCTTACACAATGCGTGCACGCGCCATGCAGCAGCGGTCGGCGTGAAACGCATAGCGCATTCAAGACTGTAAGAATACTTCACGCATCGCGCCAAACACAGTGCAGTCAGCGCGGCGCGGCGGCGGAAGTTAAAATTATTAAACTATACATTTATGTTTGTTCTTTCATAATTTTTTCGTTCATTTCATACAAATGGAAGGCCTTGTCCGCACAGAGATAGGTTTACGGACCTTAACTTTCGCGCCAAGTTCCGTGAACTTTTGCCAGTAGTGTTGACAGAGCTTTCGCAAAAAATGTGTCCATCACGAGTAAACGCGTCTTATATGCACTCCTCCCCCTCCGGCACGTTCATCTGATGGCTTTTATTGATGTTTCAAAATTAATGAGAGGGGGACGGCGAAATACAGGCGGCCCATGGCGGCAAGTAAGTAAATCCAGGCCTGCCGGCCGTGCCCCTTATGATTGAAATTTTGACGAAACTAACATACAAATTTGCAGTTTTGTCATAAAATTTCGTGTCCGACCTTTCCGAAAGAATCGATCCACTGTGCGTTGCGCCGATCACCTCCTGGCTCCAAATGAGTTGTGTTGATCACTTTTATGCAACTCCAGTGATTCATTACTATCAATAATTTTTATTATTTCAGAGGTATGAGTACTTATCCGTTTTCTTACATTAATGTCATTATTTGAAACTTACCCGGTAAAAATATACGTGAGATCATGCTCGGATTTGAATTTTGGCCGTCCCGAGACGGATATAATATTTCCGACTCCTTGATGATTGCGGTGTGAGAAATTATGTACGAAGAAGGTTGGAGGCCTGTCCCAGCAAAAAAAAACTAAAATCCTTTTTGAGTAAGTTTCACCTTTTTTTCGCCAAACCCCACCCGCGTGGTTGTTTACACAAATTAAAAAGTTTCCCAAGAATTCTTCCTCTCCCATAACTTTGCCTCCTCTAGGCATCTGCTTTGGTTGTCTGCCCCATGAATGGGCACGGGCACGGGTAAGATGTCTGAATGCCTCTATTGAATGGGCGGAAAACAAAAAAATGATTTTTCTCTCAAAATCTTCAATACCTTAAATTTTTAATCTAATTTGGTATTACTCGTCACATTTCAACAGAAAATTCCTTTTCCACCCCTCACGCAAAAAATATAGGCAGATGAAATAGTCAAATGCCGAAATCTATATTAGATGTACGCTATCAGTCACCTAAATTTTGACCGTGTGGAGATTTTTACTTCACTTCATGCGCACCCGTCGCATGGTCTCCAACTTTCAAAGGCCCCGTTAGTATTCTGCAGTGCCAAAGGAAAACACCGTATGAACATCCGAGAGTTGCCAAAACTTTTCCGGATAAAACATTTATTGAGGAAAATGATGCATATTTTTCCTTGAAATTTTCAGATATGTTCGATCAAATTCCGACCAAAATTATCTGAAAAATTTGGAGGGGGGATTAAAAATCTTCTAGTAAATTTGGTTTTTAGTGAAGGAAATTTGGCAACGTCTAAAGGCTTATACGACGTTTTTCCTTAGCAGGTTAATATTGGTCACTAAATTGTTCATTTATGAGTCGAACTGAGAAAGTCACGTGTATTCCACAAATCAAAACCTTGAAGACCCCCGCCACTCTGGAACAAGTCATTCATCTTTTCCCTCTCTGTGATGGGCTATCTAGTAGCCTTAATGATGCGTTTCGAAGTAGCGCAATATCGATGGAAATTACGTTATGGGACAATTAGCCGGAGTGTTTGTTTTATGGGAAGAACCAATGAGTGTCGCGTAATGAAATAGGTGCTTCGGCTTTGAGGAGTTCTACCGTGTTAAGAAGAAACGCCGTATGAGCCTTCAGACATTGCCAAATTTCCTTCGATAAAAACCGAATTTACTGGGAAAATGATGAATAATTTTTCCCCAAGATTTTCTGACAATTTCATGCGCAATTTATTCTAAAATATCTGAAAACTCCAAAGAAAAATGTGCACGAATGTCGTCAAAAATACATGTTCTATCAAGGGAAATCTGGCAACTCTAGGATGTTCATACGGCGTTCTATCTTAGCACGGCAGTGGAGGAGTTGGTGACCCAACGCAACCTTTGGTCGGCGAATTAATTTCGGTCCGATAACCTCACATCTTCAGTTGGCCTTTTCGCGTTGTCCACGAACGGCCTCACTGCACTTCGACGTGCAACTCCAACGTCTCGGAAACCTTCCTGTCGCGGTGAAACCATTCTTTTTTCGTTGATACCTTCCTCGTGGTCATGCTCCCGGCACGCGACTGGTGTGTCAACGATCCAGCGAAACGCTGAGTCTTCACCGCGGAACCCCATAATTTTGAAATCCCTCGGCGGAAAATTTCGCCGGTTTGCTTGTGTGTGCGTGGTAGTTTCATTCAGTTCGTTTCTAGGCTCATTCCGTGTTGGCAGTGTTCCGAGCCACGTTCAAATGGTTCAGTAGATAAGCGTGCGTTGTGTTGAGGGTTTGAAGTTCCCGCCACAAGTATCGCTCATGGTCAATAACAGCCAGCGTCTCTGGCGAAAAATTCGGTGAGTTTATGGTGAAATCTCTATTTTGACACCCCTCCCCCTTCCCCCAACCCTTGTTGTTCTCTCGTGGAGAGCTTCGGAAGATTTTTATCAAATTTATTCGCTTCTCAATATTTTTGCAGGTTAAGGAATATTCCACGTACTGTTACGTGGCTGTATTCATTTATTTTATTTTCATTTTTTTATTTGTTTGAACGGAAAGGACTCCAAGTAGTTTTCTACACCCCCGTTAACGTTTCATCCACTATAATCGAAGCAAAATGCGTGGAATTCGTTAAACTTTTTACTAAATTTCCAGAAAATTCACTGAATAGTTTTCTCTCTTAAATATAAATTAGCAGTGGAGATTTTGAAAAATCGCAACCAAGTCAAAAATCCAAGTCTGTTGTGATAGGAATCCGGGAATCGTAAAAACTGCATAAGATTTTGTTGGCGTATAATCATTGCCGCAAAATTCTCAAAATATCGTGGCAACAGCTATTCTTGAGGGAAAAGGCCGTCTTTTTTGGAGGAAAAATGTCATTCACAGCCTTCACGCCGAGCTAAAAAAATTAGCATCGATAAAGTGTATGAATGAGTTACGTACTCTACTATTTCAAGGCCATTCCTGTTTACATAATGTCCAAAGATTACTTTCAAAATTGAGGCCGAAAGGGGCAAAAAGCCTCGGTCCGAAAATCGTGTGTTGTATACTGTCACCCAACATTTTTCTCATCGATGATAAAATAAGTAATTGCCGTATTAGGTACATTGTAGTGGCAAATGAAAATGGGCGGCATTTTGTCCCTCAGACCGTAAAGCAATAAAAATTTGCACAGATGAAATACTTTGAAAAATTATATTAACTGTGGTCTCGAGAACGCGTTTAAAATGTTGATTGGCGATCAATTTGCATCTTACATGGCCCACAAAGTTCACTTTATACCGTATTTCAAAAATGTGTAGGTAGGAATGCAATCTTGATAAATAAAACATACTAAATTGTCAACGCTTTTCGGCCCCAGAGAAGTGCACTTTATCAAGTAAGTATGTACCTACTGTGCGATCATTTCGTGCAAGTTAATGGGGGATTTTTTTTTTTTTTTTTTATCATAGAATCCTGATTAATTAATTTTAAAACCACGTTAAATTCCTTTGGACACACATTACGTTCCTAAACTAAAAATACTTGTTTTGAAAATAGATGCATTGTACAGGCCCTTCGAGTTAGGCGCCATGCATAGGAATGCCCACTGCGCATCCATAATCTACTCAACAATATATTTATAAAAGATTAGCGGTAGTTCAATGTAAACATAAAAACGTTTCTTATCGAGAAGATGAGTTTTAAAATAGCCATTTATTATGCATTTATACTTTGTTTCTTATCTGTTAGGTCATCTGTTTTTTTAGGTTATCCATTTAT